AGGGAAAGCTACAGAGGATCCAGGGGAGGTGGCAGCGTCCTCCCCAGGGAAACCATGGTAGCTTCCACTAGGGGGATTTAGGAGCCGTTATCGAAAGGAGGATTGCAGGAGCTGGCGGCCTCTCCTCCCTCCTTGATAGATGCCTGTGATTTGGGGGTGCAAACTATTTTCTCCCCCCAGCACTGGGGAGTAAACCCAGTACCTTCACACACATCTCCAGCTCTGCTTTGTATTTTTCATTCTGAAGCGAGAACTCACTCAGTCACCCAGTTGCCCAGATTGAGCTCAACCTGAAGATCCACCTGCCTCAGCCTGCTAGCGGGCTGGGTTTACAGGTGCACTCTGCTATGTTCAGCTTCATGTTTATTTTTTTTTATGTTACTGGAGGTTAAGTTTACAGTTTAATGTTTAGGTTACAGAGTGTGAAACTCCTCCCTTAAAATAATTCATTTGTAGGAAGGATAACTACATATGGTGATATCTGATAGACAGCTATTTGTGGTGCAAGGGATTGTTGCAAGTTTTTTTTTTTTTTTTTTTTTTTTTGCAGAACTGGGGATTGAATAGAACTGGGGATTGAATATAGGCCCTTGTGCTTGCCAGGGAAGCGCTTATTCCCCTGAGCCATCTCCCCGGCCCTGGTGCTAGGGATTGAACTACACCTTCAGCCCTTTCTAATTTTATTTTGCGTCTCTTTATGGTACCCCACCCTATGCTGTATGGTATATTTTTTAATTTTTATTCATTTATTTTTTTAGGGGGCCTGGCCCTAGTTCAGTCCTTTAAGTGGCTGCTTCCACAAAGCTGTCAGCCTCAGGTTGCTGGAGTTCGAACCTCACACCTCTCCCGCTGGCCAAAAGTGCCCTGAAGGCATTCGAGGAACAAAAAAAAAAAAAAAAGAAAAAAAGAAAAAAAAATCCTTATTTATTTTTTTGTGGAACAGGGGATTGAACTCAGGCCCTTGTGCTTGCCAGGCAAGCGCTTATTCTACTGAGCCATCTCCTCGGCTGAGTTTGATTTTTGGTACCAAAAAAAAAAAAAAAAAAGTGACCCCAAGGGTCAGCCTGCAGTACATACTGAAACCCTGTCTCAAAACAACCCCCTCCAAAAAACATGTTTCCTCTAATTACAATCTTGTCATCTTTCTACCTAGTCTAGTTCCTGCTGTCCTACCTGAGGATGGCATTCCTTGTTTGTTTGTTTGTTGAGGATGATATTTGGGAGGCAAAGAGGCCACGTGGGGCAGCAGGAGGACGCCGGCGTGAGCCACTCTGGTGGAGCTGGTGCCGGACTGTCATCTCCTCCAGTGAGGGCGATCAGCAGACCTTGGGGTTCATCCAGTCCAGCCAGGCTCTGGGGCACAGCCTCTCTCCCCCGAAGAGGAACCTTGCAGTTTTGAAGTCCAGATTTCTACCTTCTCACATCCAGATTTCTGGCTTCTCTGAGACACATCCTCATGCAGCCTAGGTGGGCTGGAGCCAAGCAGCAGCCCTGCGACACTTTCCCCTCTAATTCTGGGCACTGAGCCCAGACCATCCCCCTGAAATACTCCCTAGTCTTTTTTTTTTTAAATGTTGAGACAGGGCCTTATAAATTGCCCAGGCTAGGACTTGCCACCCTCCTGCCTCAGCCTCCTAATGAGCTGGGTACATGGGTGTGCACCCCTGCAGCCAGCTGCAAACCCCTCGCAGGCAGGACCTGCACCGTCCAGCTTGTGGGGGTGCCGGGAGGCCGCGGTCTGCAGGGCGCAGGTTACCCGGTCCTCTCAGCCATCCCCCCTCTGGGATCTTCCCAGAGTGAAAGCTGTCACAGTGCACACATGGCCACGTTCACAACAGCACAACTCCCAGCTGCCGAACCTTGGAAGTGGCCTGTATGTCCATCACCAGGGGAGTGAATAAGAACATGGCTTTACATGGAGTACTGCTCTGCTTCAAGGAGGTCAAGCGCGAGTCATGCCGCAAGACGGAGGAACCTCGGAAGCACCAACGTGAAGTGCAGTAAGTCACACACAGGCTTACTTGGCGTGCAGTTTCTCTTTATGAGAAGCCCAAGGTACATAAACAATTGGAAGAGCAAAATAAAAGGCTAATGACAGGAAACAGGGAAGTAGATCTTTTGCAGCAGGGAAGGCGCCCCGGGGAGGAGGGGGAGGAAGGCTTCCGACGACGGCGCACTGCATGCTTGCACCAGCCCTGCCCAGTGAACACGGCCATCCATGGACTGCAAGCGTGTACTAATACAATGTTTTAAAATTTAAAAGTTTGCCGCATAAGAATTGCACACGTTTGTGGAGTACGATGTCAGAAAGCAGTATGTGTGCACAATTCCTTGAGAATAATTTCAAACATACTGAGTGGTTAAAAGCCTAACACACGCTTGTAATCCCAGCATTCAGGAGGCCGAGGCAGGAGGATCATGATGAGCTCGAGGCCGGCCTACGCTACGTGGAGAGACCCTGTCTCCAAAAACAAACAAAACGTCTAATACCAAAGCTGCAGTGTAGCGTTTACCTAGATTCAGCTGATAACATTTTGCCACGTTGGCACTTTCTATGTTTTTTTGTTTTTCAGTGTTGGGACTGCATGCAAATCTTGTGGGTGCTGTATATCCTAAACATAAGCTTTACCACTGAGCTACACACTGGCCTGACACACTTGCGTGCTCCCTTGGCCCATAAAACTCCATGTTTATTGCCAAGAACATACACACATACCCACGATGGCTAGCACACATTAAGGAAGTCCATCTTTAATCCTATTTACTATTTAGTGGTACTGGGGATGCAACCACAGCCTTCCTTTGCGTTGAGCTATAGCCCAGCCACCCCACCTCCTGGTCAGAGGCTTGCTAAGCTGCCCAGGCTGGGCTTGAACAAGTAATCGCCCTGCCTCCGCACCCCAGAACCTGGGACTCAGGTGTGCACAGCCATGCCAAAGCAATACTTTATATTCCTTTTTTATCAGCACGTCTTTGCAGCACGTGTCTACACTCATGTGAGACTGCATGTGCCTCACACCCCAGTTGATTTTCTCATCTGCTCTCCCTCCTTCCCTCTTCTTCCTCCATCTTTTCCCCCTGGTCTTTCGGAGACAGGGTCTCGCTATGCAGTTCAGACTGGCCTCGAGCTCACTTCGTAGCTCCGTCTGGTCTCGAACTCGCAGCAACCCTCTACTTCAGCCTCTGCAGCGCTGGGATTACGGTGTGCACCACCATGCCCAGGCATGTTCTTGTTATCCACTGAAGGACATGCTCGGAAGTGGCCTGTATGCTGCTTCCCAAGCTTTAGCTACTAGGAATTTGCTGCTATAAACATGGGAATACACGGATCATTGTAATCTCATGACTTAACTCTTTCGGAAAGATACGTAGAAGAGGAATCGCTGGGTTAAATGCACGTTTAGTTTTGAGAACTCTCCATACTGATTCCCACGGTGGCTGTACCAGTTTCACTCACACCAACAGGGTTGAGGGTTCCTTTGTCCCCACAGCCTCATTAGCATGTTATTTATTTCTTGACAGCCATTTTTGGAGGGTAAGATGGAATCTCAGTATTAATTTGCATTTCTCAGCAATGCTGAGTACACATACTAACAATTTCATGTATTTACTGGCCATTTGTAATATATACATGAGACTATACAGTTCAGGCTGGCCTCAAACCCAGAAATCCTTCTGCCTCAGCCTCCCGAGTGCTGGGATTACAGGTGTGCACCACTACATCCAGCTTTTACTTTATATATTTTTAATTCATCAATTTCCCCCAGTGTCTTTTCTAGCAATTTTTTTCCCTCTAGTGTATTATCTTGGCTTCCATGAAGTATTTTAGTTTTGGGTCATTTTAACCTCCTCTAACCTGTAGCCTCTCCACGTTTTTCTATCTCAACTTTTTTTGTGCCGGTGAACCCAGGACCTTTGTGCTCCCTGTTGTGCTCACAGCAAGTCTTCTAGTCTCAGCTACTGGTGTTACCACTAAGGTATATCTCCAGCCGTTTAAAAAAGATTATGAGCTACAATTCTTGTTGCATAGGTCCTGCTTTACCTTGGTCTTAACCATCCAGTAGAAAAGTATGAAGTCGAAATATAAGAAATAAAGCCATGCTGTTAAGTTGAGCTGTGGGGGACTCAGGTCAATAATTTCTGACATTGCCAGTTAAATATAAGACCCAATGCTATTATAGGCTACTGGACTCTTTTAGAATATTTTGCTGAGTTTACACACCTATAATATTCAATAACGGAACTTAGAAAAAATGGGGTATACCGATGAATGTCCATTTTGTATCTGTGCATTCAAAGAGGTTGGGATAGATATATAGTTGCATTCTCTTAATGAATAGAATGATTTGTTCTAATGGTGTTTGTAAATAGGATCACAAGTCCGCATCTTGTACAGCAATTAACCACTAAGAAGAATATATGCAGTGTATTATTTGTTGAAACTGTCCTTCCGATTTGATTTGAAACTGTCTCATTGCTGTTTGTCAATAAAACTTTGAAAAAAATAAATCTTTCATGCAAAAAAAAATAAAAAAAATAAAAAAGATTATGATGCATGTATATCTTTCGAACAGTATGAATACAAATACTCTGTGCTTTATTCAATGTCTAGGAACGTCCTCAAGTTTCGATCTTCCTGCTTCAGCTTCCCAGAGTACTGGGATTACACCACTTCCTGACTTTAAGCTAGTCACTTTTTAATACTCATTAACTGTTGAGTTAAAGCGGATAAGGTGGACAACAGCACCTTAGGAACGCTACCACTTATTTAAACCAGAAGTCAGTAGACCGCACAAGCCTGGGGACTTTTTTAATGCGAGGCTCCGCCCATGGGCCGCGAGTGGCGGAAGAACCTCACGCTGCGTCGCGTCGCCTCACACTGCGGCGGAGGCATCCTGACGTTACGCCGGCGGCGTGGGCGGGGCCGCCGGCTCTTCCTCTCCGCTCCTTGGGCTCCTCCCCCAGCGCTTCTCACGCTCATTGTGAGGCGACAGCCGCCGCCAGCTTTAAGGCGGTTTGAGAGCTAGAGACTCAAGTCCTTGGCGCGCGTGAGCGCCCACGCTGCTCCTTCCCCGCCCCAAGGGCTAGGAGCGCGAGGTCCACCTATTTTAGACCCCCTCCTCCTCCCACCCGGCGCCAACCGCTGGCGCGCGCGGGCACCTCGCGCGGCGCGCCTCCTTCCGCCCTTCCCCCCGCGGAGCTCCCGCCGCGCTCCTCCCTCTCTCCCTCCCCTTCTCCCGGCGGCGACGCGCACGCGCGCCACACCGGCTCGAGCTCTCTCGCTTTCCTCCGCGGGACCCCCTCCCCTTCCGCCTCGCGGCGCTTCATCGCGCCGCGGTCCGCTCGGTCCACCCCCGACCCCGCGGGGCTTCCCGCCCGCCAACGGCGGGTCCCCAGCCTCCGGGCCCCCTCGCTTCCCGCGCTCTCCTCCGAGGGCCCAGCTCCGGGCGCCCCTCGCTCTCCCCTCTAATCCCCCTTCCGGACGCTGCCATCATGTTGAAGCCTCAGCCGCCACAACAGCCCTCCCAGCCCCAGCAGCCGCCCCCCGCGCAACAGGCCGTGGCTCGCCGGCCTCCCGGCGGCAGCAGCCCTCCCAACGGCGGCCTCCCGGGGCCGCTGGCCGTCGCCGCGGCTCCCGCAGGGCCTCCGGCGGCCGCTTCACCCTGCCTGGCGCCCGCGGCCGCCACCGGGAGCGGGCTCCGTCGCGGTGCCGACAGCGTCTTGGCGGCGCCGCTGCCGCAGCAGCACCAGGAGAGGCCGGGGGCGGCCGCCATCGGCAGTGCCAGGTAAAGCGGGGTGGGCTTCCGGGCGGGGGGCCGGGGCTCGGTGCCGGCGCGGCGGGTCCGCAGCCAGTGCCTGGCAGGGGCGTCCGGAGGCGCGGAGCCTCCGAGGCTGGGCAGGTCCCCGCAGGCTGGGGGCCGCAGCGCCGGGCGGCCTCGGGGCACCTGGGGACCGAGCTCGGCTCCCGGGGCCTAGGGAGGGTTCCGGGTCCGGCCCTGAGGGGAGGCGGGGCGCGTCCTGCCGGCGCCGTCGGAACGGGGCGTTGGGGGGGCGAGGAGGTGACCGGGGTCCCGGGCTCCATTACCACGGAGGGTCTCGCGGTCCCCAGCTTCAGCCAATGGGGAGTCAGCCGCCGGAAGGGGTCCCCGGCCGTAGCCAATGGAGGGGGGCGCGCGGCCCGCAGTTTGGCCAATGGGAGGGAGGGACTTGGGAGCGGGCTGCGCCCTCCTCCTCCCCGGCCTGGCCAGTAGGAGGGAAGCAGGCCGGGCGGGGGCGCGGAAGGAGGCACGGCCGGGTGGGCTGCGGCCGGAGCCGCCGGCGCGCGTTCTCTCCGCGGACGTGCGCGCGGATGCTGGGCCTCAAGACCTGGGTGTTCGTGGGCCCCGGCTTCGCGTAGGGCCGTGACTGGGCGTGTGCATGGAGGGTTTCTTCTGGTGTTAGTCGGTGAGTAGCGGACACCTCACTGAGTTCCCTCTCTGTGTGCGTGCGTGCATGCGCTGGGAAATGGGAGCGCGGCGGTGTACGCAGGCGCAGTGGAGTCCGCTCGCGGGCGGGGGGATTCGGAGAGGCCCGTAAGCTTTAGGGCGCAGGCGCAGGCCAGGCGCGGCCTCCCGGCGGATGCCTTTTGCGGCTGCGCTGTGCCCCAGCCCCACCAGCGGCCCCCTCTTCACCCTCCTCTACCGCTGGTTACATCAGCCATCGAGGAGCAGTGTTACCTGGCGACTAGTGACCCCTGCAGAGTGGGTAATAGGCTGAGTGAGTGATGATGGGTAGAGGGGTGGTTGGCGGAGGGAATACCCTGCCTCCCAGGGTGTGAGGCGTGAGGCTGCTGAAAATGATTTTACCACTTGGGAGGTTATGTGCCTGAGATAAGTAGTTCTGCTCTTGTGCTCCCTGAGCGTTCACCTTCACATCTGGGGTGGGTTGTCGGTTATTGGATGCTGTAGTGTTGGTTTGTTGGAAGCTTGCCGCTCTGATCCTTGGAGAAAGTGAGGGTGTGCGGTGCATTGGTTCTTAAAGGAATTGATAGCCATTGTTGATTGATTCTCATATACTGGCCTTTGGAGAAGATGGATGTATTGGCATTTATTGTGTGCTCCTTTTTTTTTCCTCTTGAAGGTGAGAATTTGAAAAATCTCGATTAATTGGCTCGTTGTAAATCAGCAACTTCACATGACGAATGATGTAGGATTTACTGTTAACTAGTATAGTAACTTGCTTTTTTCTTTTACAGGGGACAGAGCACGGGAAAGGGACCCCCACAGTCACCTGTGAGTGCATTTGTTCCTCCATAAGATACATAATACTACAAAAATGCTTGGGAATACAGGGTTGGTTAGGTGCAGAGATAGCAAGATATGAGTGGGGTGACCATTTAAAGGTGTGTACGGGCATACATTTGTTTCTCTCATGTTACTCACAGGTGTTTGAAGGTGTATATAACAATTCCAGGATGCTGCATTTCCTGACGGCTGTTGTGGTAAGTGAACATTGAACCTTAGGTTGTTTGAGAAGTGTAATGATTCAGCTTTCTGGGGTCACTCATTTTTCCCCCTCTCCCTAGGGTTCCACTTGTGATGTAAAGGTGAAAAATGGCACCACTTATGAAGGCATTTTCAAAACCTTGAGCTCAAAGGTCAGTATACTCGATGAGCTCATCTTTGGTGCTATGTGGAAGGAGAAGGAGAATGAAATTGGAGGAGTATATAAGGTGGTATTAGATAATACTGTTAATTGTCTCTGTGGGCTGTTCAGTTGGGGGTGTTTCTGTTTTGTTTTTGATATAGGGTCTTAGCGTGTAATTAGGCTGGCCTTGAAAACTCAGTACTTTTTCCTGAGTACTGGGCATGTACCACTATGCTTGGCAGATCTTCAATTTAAGTTTTTTAAAGTTTATGTTTGAGACTTGTTAAGTCTTGTGGCTGGTATAGAAAAGACAAGGCACGTGAGAAATGTGTTAGGGAAATTGTATTTTATTTTACTTGATTTTGTTTTTGTCTTTTTGAGACAGGGTCTTACTATACAGTTTAGGCTGGTCTCAAACTCATAGTGATCCTCCTGCCTCAGCCTCCCAAGTACTGGGATTACAGGTGTGCCCTACCACTGGTGTTGGGCAGAATTCCGCCCCCCCCCCCAGCCCACCCTGAGGGCGGGGCTGGTGCAATACCTGGTGCTGGGGATTGAACTGCAGCCTCCCGTGCCTGCCTAAGCTTACCTAAGCAGGTGCTTTAGACCACTGAGCTACCTTGCCAGCTGTTGGGCAGATTTTTAATTAGCAATAATTGCGCTTCGGATAAACCTCATTGGCTACAGTACTGCCACAGCATAAAGCTTGGGCAAATTTTTAAAAGGGAGAATTGAATCTGTTTTTACCTTTAAGTTTTTTGATACTAATCTCTGGGTGTTTGGGGTGGGATTTTTATAGTTTGAACTAGCAGTAGATGCTGTGCACAGGAAAACATCTGAACCAACCGGTGGCCCACGTCGGGAAGATATTGTGGATACCATGGTGTTTAAGCCAAGTGACGTGATGCTTGTCCACTTTAGAAATGTTGACTTCAATTATGCAACGAAAGGTATCGTCAGATTGCTGTGTCAAGAGTCAGTCTGTGATGAGAGGGAAGTGTGTGTGCGGGTAGAGTGGGTTGATTTGTATTGCCTTTACCATTTTTCCTCCCGAGGGAGGAACCTGAATTTTTTTCTTGAAAACATAGTGGATTGAATTCTCCTTGTTGTGGTTTTCGTTATTTCATCTGGTTGGTTTTCAGCAGTTTTGCTCTTTTCCAAGCCCTGCTGATAGCCATGTACACATACCCTGGATAGGTCCTGCTTCTTAGGGTCTGGTTCATGAACTCCTAAGGGGGCCTGGGAGTAAGGCTGAGGGGAGAGAGTGATTGGGCACCAGCTGACTTCTTGTGTTAACTCTGTCTCTGCAGACAAGTTCACTGACTCAGCCATTGCCATGAACTCGAAGGTGAACGGGGAGCACAAAGAGAAGGTGCTTCAGCGCTGGGAAGGAGGCGACAGCAATAGTGACGACTATGACCTAGAGTCGGACTTGGTACAGCTGCAAAGGGGTGGAGGGAGCGCGTGGGTGGTGGGCTGTGGCTACAAACAGCAAGGTCCTGGGACCAGAAGCTGGTTCTTGGCAAGAGAGGAGGAGAATACTGACAGTTGCAAGTGTAAACAGAATTTCTAGGCCCATTATCCTTCCTAAAAGCAAACTAAAGCATTTAAAATCTTCTGAGTTGAGTGTGTGTGTCTTTTGAATCAGGGTCTCACTATGCAGTTTAGGTTGGCCTTGAACTTCCTTTGTAGGCCAAGCTGGCCTCAAACTCCCAGCAGTCCTCTTGCCTCAGTCTCCCAAGTGCTGGCATTATAGGTGTGCACCACCATGCTGGGCTCAGTGAATTAGTTTTTTGTTCTGGTATGTTTGTGGGGGTTTTTTTTTGTTTTGGTTTGTTTTTTTTTTTTGGCTGAACCAGGGATTGAACTCAGGCCCTTGCACTTGCCAGGGAAGCGTTTATTCCACTGAGCCATTTCCCCAGCCCTTCTCCTGCTATGTTTTAAGTTGAACAAGAATCTGAGTTTTACCCCTTGGAACTTTGCATTTAGATACGTGTAAGTCTGTTCTATTGCATTTAGCTGTATATATGTACATATATATATATTTTTTTTTTCATATATAAGTACACATTTACTTGTATTTGCCTTTATTTTAGAAATCTTTGTTGCTATTATCTTTTTACTAAAAATAGTGCCTTTTTAGCCAGGCATAGTGATGCATAGCTGTAATTCCAGCTGTCTGGAAGGCTGCAGCAAGATGATTACAAACTTGAGCCTAAGGGCCTAGGATATAGCCTAGCAGCACAGCATCTGCCGGGCAGCTACAAGGTCTCAGAGTTCTAGTCCCAGTAACCCCCGCCACCCCAAAACAAGCAGATTTGAGGCTGGGCAACTTTGTGACTTAGATTCTCTCTCAAGAGTGAAAAACAGAAAACTGATAGTGTAGCTGTAGCTCCCTGAAGCCCTTCCGGATTTAATCTGTAATACCCACCAAAAAGCCTTCTTAGTCTTTATGACATGTAACTCCATGTGTATGTTGTAGAGTCGGAGTTAGAAACCTAGAAATGAGCCTTTTAGATCTTAGAACTGCTTCGCTCTGTGGGTAAGTCCCAGTGTGTGCTGTGAATTGACAGTAAAGTTGGTAACTCTCACCAGCCTTTTGTTGTTGTTCTACTCTTGCTTTGGTCACTTTTTAACTTGGTGGGAGGAAAATGATATGTGAGGTTTTAAATGCTTCACCTTCCTTTTTTCCTAGTCCAATGGATGGGATCCCAATGAAATGTTCAAGTTCAATGAGGAGAACTATGGGGTGAAGACAACCTACGATAGCAGTCTCTCTTCTTACACGTAAGTAGCCTGCCGCTTCCCAGGGATGCAGTGTAGGGTGCAAGGTAGCCGGTGGAAGGTGAATCAGTAGGTGGAACACAGTTTATGTGTGTACCTTTTTGGGCATCCAGGGAGCCCTTCCTTTGTACCTGATCCGCCTTATGAATGGCTCCCTGAGAGTTTCTTGAGCTTGGCCATCCTGTGGATAGGAGTAGCTGAGCTTGTGGCCATCCACCTGGACCTTCACTTTAGATTCAGAGTCTGCCTTGGAGCTGTGCCTAGGACTGATAGATGGCCAAGAAGCGTGCTGGTTGGGCGAGGGACTTAGCTGCTGCAGAGCACTTGCCTGGCACGTGTGAGGCCCTGGGTTCAGTCCTCAGCACCAAGCTGAGTCACGGAGGGGATTAAGCAGCTTTATGTGCCTGAGCTGGTCAGGACTGGTAGAAGTGTTCTCTGTCATCTTGTTCTGTGGCCCTGGAACGATAGCAATCCATGGGTGATCTCTCCCAGGGTGCCCTTAGAGAAGGACAACTCAGAAGAGTTCCGTCAGCGGGAGCTGCGTGCAGCCCAGCTGGCCCGAGAGATTGAGTCGAGCCCCCAGTACCGCCTACGGATTGCCATGGAAAATGATGATGGGCGCACTGAGGAGGAGAAGCACAGTGCAGTCCAGCGGCAGGGGTCAGGGCGAGAGAGCCCCAGCTTGGCATCCAGGTAATTGCAGGGGCAGCCAGCACTAGTTGCATTGTGGCTTCACCCTGGGCCAAGAACTTTGTACGGTGTTAATAAAACTTACCAGCTTGTTAAGATACAGGTAAACCCTTAGCTCCCAAGACTTACATCTGGGAGGCTGAAGCCTGGTGATACATGAAGTAATCTGTTCGATGTTTGACGAAAAAAAATATTTTAGGATTTTAGTGTACCTTTTTTGTCTGTTCTGTTGTTTTGAGATGAGAGTCTTACTATGTGGCTCAGGCTGGCCTTAAACTCACTTATGTAGCCTGGACTGGCCTTGAATTTAATGTGGTGCTACTCTTGCCTCAGCCTCTCAAATGCTGCAATTATAGGCATGTGCCACCACGCCCTCGCATTGTCCATTCTTTTTACAAAAAGGAAATGAATCTGTACGTGGCAAACATCTTGTAAAAGCTCCTCTGTGAACCCTCTCATAGGTCAGGAGTGGTAGTTGTGAAACACTGGCTTGGTTGGTTGAGTCAGCATTCATGTACTTAACTGGGGCAGATCTTCAAGTGGGACAGTGAAAGCAGCTGGAGTTGAGCACTGTGGAAGCTGGGAAGAGGATTCAGAACGGAAGGTTTCATGTCAAAATGTGGGGGACCTGTGGCTACTGCCCTTAACTTGAACTCTTTCCCCAGGGAGGGCAAGTATATCCCTTTGCCTCAAAGAGTTCGAGAAGGTCCCCGTGGAGGAGTCCGGTGCAGCAGTTCTCGGGGTGGCCGGCCTGGCCTTAGTTCTTTGCCCCCTCGTGGCCCTCATCATCTTGACAATAGCCCTGGCCCAGGTTCTGAGGCACGTGGTATTAATGGAGGTGAGTTAAGGAGCAGAAATGGGGTGGAGAAGGGGTGTGAAGAAGCAGGGGAGGAGGGGTCGCTGAAAGGATTTACATAGGTTGGAAGGGGGGTGGTGCATTGGTGACAATGTGATAGCAAGTGCTCTCTTTCTTTACCCTTAAAAAAATAAAATAGGCCCTTCCCGCATGTCCCCCAAAGCACAGCGGCCCATGAGAGGTGCCAAGACACTCTCTTCGCCCAATAGTAGGCCTTCTGGAGAAACTTCTGTTCCACCACCTCCTGCAGGTAAAGGTTCAGTAGAACTGGATAAAGAAATGGGTAGAAAGCTATATGGGGAGGTAAATCTGGTTTTGGCCTGCTTAGGATAGAAAACAGGTTGAAGATGTTTTGAGGAGAAAGTTAGATTTATCCTTCTTGAAAAAGAGTTTTGTTTTGATCATTTTGAGACACAGTCTCTCACTGGCCCTGAACTCACTTGGTAGCCCAGGCTGGTTTCCGACTCCTCATGATGCCATCTCAGCCTTCCAGATGCGGGGTTTGCGGGCGTGCTCCACCGCACCTGGCCAGAATTTTGTTTCCCTAGTGCAGAAATTGTTAGCTGGCAGTATACCAGTTGTGTCTGTCTGGCAGGTGTCTTTTGTTCAGATTTGAATTTATTGTTAACATTTTAAAATAGGTATTACAGAACATTTGTTTTGAATTACAGAAAGTTGTGACGGTAGTGAGCTTGCCGCACTACCTGATTCTAGTTGGGTAGCAGAGAATGACAGTTACCCTTGTAAGCATTCTAGGCTTTCCAGGTGTCTGTGAGGCCATGTACCTACTTGTACTACTTGCCTTGATCTTGACATTTATTTATGTTTGTAATTCTGGGAATAATAAACGTGTCTGTATTCTCTGGATTTTTAACATACTCCTGTATTCACTTATTGACCAGCAGTAACCATTGTGTAGCTCTCTCCTTTCTTCCAGTGGGCCGGATGTATCCTCCACGCTCTCCCAAGTCTGCTGCACCCGCCCCCATCTCTGCTTCCTGTCCTGAGCCTCCCATGGGCTCAGCAGTGGCAACCTCTTCGGCCTCCATACCTGTGACATCATCAGTTACAGATCCTGGTGTAGGCTCCATTTCCCCAGCTTCTCCAAAGATCTCACTGACTCCCACGGAGGGTAAGAGCTGGGCAGCGGAGGGCTGTTGACAGTGTGCAGTGGTTCTCGACAGGCAGACCGTCAGGCATCTCGCTCTCTGTCTCCTTGCTCAGTGAAAGAACTCCCCACTAAGGAACCTGGCAGAACTCTGGAACCCCAGGAGCTGGCCCGGATAGCTGGGAAAGGTGAGGATTGTTGGTTTTGGATTTTGGGTGGGTTTTTCATTTTTGTTTTTGAGACAGGGTCACTATAAAGTTCAGACTGCTCCTGAACTCACTGTGTAAGCAGCCTGGCCTCAAACTTGTAGCAGTGCTTTTCCTCAATCTCCCAGTGCTGGGATTACAGGCATGTACCACCACACCTGGCTTTTGGTATGGTTTTATTTATTTATTTACTTATTTATTTATTTTGGCAGAACTGGGGATTGAACTCAGGCCCTTGAGCTTGCCAGGCAAGCATTTATTCCACTGAGCCATCTCCCTGGCCCCTGGTGTGGTTCTTTTTGTGGAACCGGGGATTGAACTCAGACCCTTGCGCTTGCCAGGGAAGTGCTTATTCCACTGAGCTATCTCCCCAGCCCCTGCTTTTGGTGTTTTTTAAGAAAATATTTTTCTTGTGTGTTTATGGGTACGTGCTGGGGATTGAATCCCAGGCTTCACATACGCTCAGCAGACACTCTGGGCTGAGTGCTGTCACCAGTCTAGGAGTGATTTTGTTCTGCTAGTATGTAGTACTGGGATTACAGGCCAGCACCACTGTGCCTGGCTTCGTTGGGTTTCTTGTCCTCTTTACATACTAGTGCTGCATAAGCTGCGTGTGTAAAAGAAGCGTATCACTCCTCCCCACTTTGCTCACTCCTTTGTTTGGGGGAGTATGTCTGTGAGCCAGTTTGTGGACTTGGGCAGTTTCTGTTGATCCTTTGATCCTAATTTTAAGAGTGCCTTGTTTTCTTGGGTTTCTTTGGTTTGGTTTTGGGCTTGTTTGTTGGTTAGGTACCAGAAATCAAACTCAGGACCTTGCAAATGCCAGGCAGGCATGGTTTTGTTTTTTGAGACAGTATTTCACTATGTAGTTCAGGCTGTTGTCTGTGTAGTCGTTGGTGAGCCTTGCTTGAACTTGTGGTGATCCTTCTGCCTCAGCCTCTTAAGTCCTGGGATTACAGACCAACACCACCATTCTTGGCTTCCTTGGGTTTCTTTTCCTCTTTGCATACTAGTACTGCATAAGCTGCCTGTGAGAAAAACTTACCACTCTTTTCCCCACTTTTCTCAGTCCCTGGCCTTCAGAATGAACAGAAAAGATTTCATCTGGAAGAACTAAGAAAGTTTGGGTCCCAGTTTAAGGTGAGCAAAGAGTGGAACAAAGCTGGGGATTTTGTAGGATGTGCGGCTTGTGATGAACTGGTAAAACAGAGGCCCAGCTGGGTAGAAGGTCCAGGCTCAAGCAGGGCGGGCAGTCTGGACCAGACAGGACTGTGACTGTTGGTCTCCTTCCAGCTTCAGCCCAGTAGCTCCCCTGAAACCACCATGGATCCTTTTCCTCCCCGGATCTTAAAGGAGGAGGTCAAGGGAAAGGAGAAGGAGGACGCACTATTGACTTCAGACACTCTGGGCTCCCCAGTGTCCTCCAAGACAGAACCTGGATCAGAGAAGGAGGACAAACCTGCCCTGGCACCCACAGGAGGCCCTGAGGGGCCAGAGCAACCCCTGCCACCTTGTCCAAGCCAGAGTGGCAGCCCCCCAGTGGGCCTCAAGGGTGACGACAAAGATGAGGGTCCTGTTACTGAGTAAGTGGGGCTGGGCTCTTTCTGGGTGGGTATCTGGTGGTAAAGGTCAGGCTGTGAAGTCTTGGCTCTATTTTTTTTTTTTACAGACAAGTAAAAAAGTCCACATTGAATCCTAATGCGAAGGAGTTCAATCCCACAAAGCCTCTCCTCTCTGTGGTAAGAAGGGGCAGGAGAACATGGACATGCTTTTGGGGGGCGGCGCTGGGGCCCTGAGGGGAACCAGTTTGGTGACAGTCCCACTAGACAGAGGCACAGGTGGTGCTGCCTCAGTGGAGGGCGTCACTTGGGCAGATTGGGGAGGAGGGAGGCAGGGCTCGAGAGGGTGGAGAAGGGCCTGAGAGGCCGGCAGGGTTCCTTGGGGTCTGCACAGGGATGAGTGAAGTAGTTAGAATAAAGGGTTTCCTTCAGGCCAGCTGTCCTGGCTGTGCTTCCGGGCATGTTCCTGCAGGGCTTACGGATCTTGGGCAAGCCAGTTAACCTCTGCCCATTTCCTCACCTGTAGTTAGAGGTTGCTCAGCACAGGGCTTGATAGGCTTTATCAGAAAGAAATGCAGGCTGCAGAGTCACTACATTGACACTGAGTTGGGCATTGGCTGCATTTCAACGTGAAAACTTCAATACTCATGTTCGGTGTCTGCGCAGACACCAACTTGTTGGTGTTGGGGGCCGTGTGAGAGGCTCCCTCGCCTGTTCAGCCAAAACAATGCGGTGCTCACTCTGGCTCCCAAAGTGGAGCACACAGCACTTCTTGAATGCACCTGTCATTGTGGGCAGGTCAGCATGGGGTAGGACACAGATGAGATGCCACCTTCTCTCCTTACAGAACAAGTCGACCAGTACTCCAACTTCTCCAGGGCCCCGGACTCATTCAACTCCTTCCATCCCGGTGCTGACGGCAGGCCAGAGTGGGCTGTACAGCCCCCAGTACATCTCCTACATACCTCAGATCCACATGGGACCCGCTGTGCAGGTGGGATAAGAGATGGCGAGAGTCTAGGGCAGAGGGGTGTGGGTGGGTGGGCTGAGGGACCAGATCATATCTGTTCTGGAGACTTTTTTTTTTGATACTTTTATTTCTCAGTTTTGTTTGTTTTTCTTTAGCACATTTGCAAATGATTACGTTCCTCTGAGCTGTACATGTTTGCATCTCAGTCCTCCCCATCTTCTGTTCCCTTTCCCATTTTGCAAAAGACCTATGTAATATTTAAGCTTGGGCGTATGGTTTATTTTCACCTATTATAGTTAAAATAAGGACTGGGGGCCGGGGAGATGGCTTAGTAGAATAGGGCCTGAGTTCACTCCCCGGTTCTGCCAAAACAAAACAAAAAGATAAGGTCTGATGGTTCACCCCTCCCCCTCCGCGACTTATTTATCCTTTATGGCAGTGTAGCGCTCCGTCATGCAAAAAAATACATTGTCTGTGTCCATTCATCTGTCATTGGACATGCAGACTTGTTTCTTAGCTATTATGAATTGTGATGCAGTAAAGTGTGTGGGTGTGTCACTGAACTGCAGTGTCTTTATAACCCTTTTGGGGAGATTCCTAGAAGAGTAGTAGTTAAGCCAGTAGTTTCTAACTTTAAAACTGATTTGCATACTGGTGCTAGTTTACCTTCCCACCAGTTGTGTGGAAGGGTTCCTTTCCCTCCTACAGCTTCGCCAGCACTTGTTACTTGATTGTTCCGGAAGTTGGTAAGCAAGGCATTTGGCCTTTCTTTGTATTTTTGGCCCCTAGGCACCTCAGATGTATCCATATCCTGTGTCCAATTCAGTGCCTGGGCAGCAGGGCAAGTACCGGGGAGCAAAAGGTGAGCGGGGTCGGGAGGGGCAGTCGAGAGCGGCCTGGCGCCTGTGGGCAGATGGAACTCCAGCTCTGCACTGTTCTCCAATCCCCTCCAGGGTCCCTGCCCCCACAGCGCTCAGACCAACACCAGCCAGCCTCAGCTCCTCCGATGATGCAGGCGGCCACCGCTGCTGGCCCACCCCTGGTGGCTGCCACCCCATACTCCTCCTACATCCCCTACAACCCACAGCAGTTCCCAGGCCAGCCTGCCATGATGCAGCCAATGGCCCACTACCCCTCGCAGGTGAGGGTGGTACGGGGAAGTGGGGAGGCGTGTTCAGGACTCAAGGGTGGAGGCAGGTGGCATACTGGGTGGTGATGGCAGCCAGCTGCAGGTTGGTGGCAGCCTTGGGCTTACATCTTGCCTGTGGTAGAAATTGGCCTGTAAGTAGGCACTGAGTGCTGGGATCTCTGCTTTCTCTGGTGTGTACAGTAGCTCTTGCTTGGCAGGGTTTTGAGACCCCTAAGTAAGGTTGCTATGCCAAGGCTCAAGTGTGCTGTGTGCACGTTGGCCTGGCAGGAGAAGGAGCCTCCCCGATGACGGCCCTGACTGCTTTGCTTTTTGTGTCCCCAGCCGGTATTTGCCCCCATGCTGCAAAGCAACCCCCGCATGCTGACGTCGGGTAGCCACCCCCAGGCCATTGTGTCGTCCTCTACTCCTCAGTACCCATCCGCAGAGCAGCCCACCCCTCAAGCCCTCTATGGTGAGTTCTGCCATACCCACCCCCATGCTGGTCTGTGCTCCTCAGCCCTCTTGTGTGCTGATCGCTGGTTTTTCCCTCTTTCTGCTGCAGCCACTGTCCATCAGTCCTACCCACATCATGCTACACCGCTCCATGCCCACCAGCCGCAGCCGGCCACCACACCTACGGGGAGCCAGCCGCAGTCCCAGCATGCGGCCCCCAGCCCCGTCCAGGTGCCGTTCTGGGGAGTCTGGGGGGCTGAGTGTCCCAGGTACTGGAGATAAGGAGGGCACTCACGGCTTTCCCTACTTATTCCTGACAGCACCAGGCGGGGCAGGCCCCACACCTGGGCAGCGGACAGCCCCAGCAGAATCTGTACCACCCAGGGGCCCTGACAGGCACGCCACCCTCTCTGCCACCGGGACCTTCTGCCCAGTCCCCTCAGAGCAGCTTCCCCCAGCCCGCCGCTGTGTATGCCATCCATCCCCACCAGCAGCTGCCCCACAGCTTCACCAACATGGCCCATGTTACCCAGGTAAGAACCCCAGGGACCGCTTCCCAGAGCCTGTGCTAACGAACGCTACCCACGGGGCCAGTCCCTCTGGGAGTGCCCAGTTCTGTCTGCCTTCTGCTCCCATTTGTTTTCTGTTCTTCCCAGGCCCATGTCCAAACTGGAATCACAGCAGCCCCGCCCCCTCACCCTGGGGCTCCCCACCCGCCCCAGGTGATGCTGCTGCACCCACCTCAGAGCCATGGGGGGCCCCCCCAAGGCGCAGTGCCCCAGAGTGGGGTGCCTGCACTCTCAGCTTCCACACCCTCACCCTACCCCTACATCGGACACCCCCAAGGTGAGCAGCCTGGCCAGGCGCCTGGATTTCCAGGAGGAGCCGATGACAGGATTCGTGAGTTCTCGTTAGCTGGGGGAATTTGGCATGGAAGAGCTGAGGGGCTGCAGGTGGGGCAGGATGCACGGGTTCTGGGCGGGGAGTGAGGGGTCTTGGAGGCAGGGCTGTCCCACAGGGCGCCCGCCGACCTGCACCTGTCTGTGAAGTATGTAGGGTGGGCAGAAGCCACAGTCGCCGCCGCCAGGGGCTTGCTCCTGGCTCTGTCCTTTGCTTCCCTCCGTCCTCGCTCAGTTGTGATCCAGCAGCCCCCCTCCCCACTGCCTCCCCAGCTCTCAGTGACCCCGACTGTCTCCTGACTTAGCCGAGGTAAGGTCAGCGCAGCAGACAGGGCCAGACTGGGGTGTGGGGGGCTGAGCTGGGCACATGAGTGAGGGCTCTGGCTTACTGGGCAACAGCGATTGACCTGTGCTTCTGACAGCCCCCGAGACACCTTGAGGAGGCCGCTCCTTCCCACATAACCCCGCAACCCCTGGACGCATTTGTGAAGGGACGCCTGCTTGGGTTCTAATGCTCCTGCTCTCTTCTCTTTCCCCTCCAACCAGTTCAATCTCATCCCTCCCAGCAGCTCCCCTTCCACCCCCCGGGGAACTGAAGATTGTCCTGGCCGCGACCTGAGACCTCCATGAGTGGAGGGAAGAGTGATCTTTGTCTCTTCCCCCAGCAGCTCGGACCAGTCCCAGCCCCCACCCCTTTCCCCGGGAGCTGGGGAATTCCTGCCATGCACCTTGAATGGGAGGGGCCTCTGAGTGGGCGGGGCCGGGGTCCAGCGGGTGGGGGGGTTTCTGCTCTGCCCCTGCCTGTTCCCACCTAGTCTCACCCTCCCATCCTCATCTGTTCCTCCCGCTGGAGACGGAAGATCTTTTATTTTCTATTATTTATAACCTCAGACTTGGGCCCCTTGTTCTTTCTTCCCATTAACTTGAGTGACCTGTGTGAGAGACAGATGCCCCACAAGGATGGTTGGACAAGGACTTTTACTTTTTATTACATAAAAATAGTAAAAAAAAAAAATAAAAAAAATAAAATTTTAAACTAACTTAACCTTACTGTAGCTTGCTCTTTGGAGATGAGAGCATAGTCAAGCTTTTTTTTTTTAATGTTTTTGAGAGAGTTTCACTATGCAGTTTAGGCTGGCCTGGAGCTTGCAACAATCCTGCCCCAGCCTCAAGTGCTGGGATTACAGGAGTGCACTACCACGTCCTGCCTAGTAGTCTTCATGATGATACTAGGGTTATGTTTCTCTGTAATTACCCTAAACCTAGGGTGAGGAGCCAGTAGAGCAGTAGCCTGCCTCTTTTGAGACAGATCACTATGTAGTTCAGGCTAGCCTTGAACTTGGAGTGATCATTTTGCCTTAGCCTCCTGAGTGCAGGGAGGCACCACATGCCTGGCAACCCTGCTTAGTTGGGAATGAGTTCCTGATTCAGTGTTTGAAGATGTATAGTTGAACACTGATGCTGTGGGTAGCAGGGTGGCTAAAAGGTCCTGGCAAACACCTGCTGTTCTGGTCATTGGAGATAAACCGATCTTACAGTATGGGTGTGGATAAGACCTATAAAGGTGAAGCTGCTAGTGTGTTGGGAAACCAGGTTTAGAACAACCAGTGTTACAGTGGGGGTTGGGAGCTGGGTGTGGAACTCACTGCAGTAAATGCTGGGGCAGCATTGCCGGGAGTTCAAGGCCAGTCCTGCACTGCACTGTGAAATCCAGTGTCAACGTTTGGGATGTGTGAGCTGGAGGCAGTTTGGCATCCTGTAACCTGTCCTTGATTTCCTTGCCTGTAAGCTGGAAGTTGCTTCCCACTGCCAGGGCTGCGAAGATGGCACCAGCACTCAGCGTCAATTGGGGTTAAAACACTTGGACAAAAGCCCAGAGTCCAGGAAGACTTAGGCACTGCGACCTATGACTGGGTAATGGGCATGGTAGGAAAGAAATGATTTAGCAAAAGGAAATTTGTGTGCCTGCCACTTGGCTGCTAACAATGGCCGGTTTGGGGGTTGTCAGGCTGGGGGCCAGCAATGGAAACAGAAGCTGAGGAGCCTTCAGAGACAAGAGCCAAGTTCAGGCTGGCCTTGAACTTGACACTAATGCTTCAGCTGGAATGACCAGTGTTCCATCACACCCAGCTTGAACGTTGCTTTGTTTGGGGTTGGCTTTGTTGCTGTTCTAAATTTAAGAAAATCTGCCTGGCATTTTTGTGTATGCATATCCAATACAGCAAATGGTATTTAACTTCAGGTCTTGGCACATAGCAAACTAGAGCCCAGGCCTGCCTTCACACTAGGCTGAGTACTTAGCCCAGCCTTTTTTGCAGTCTTAATAAATTGCCCACACTGGTTTTGGGTCCTTCTGCCTCAGTCTGTCTGGTGTTGGGATTACAAGTATGCGCCACCACATCCAACTCAAACTTCTTTTCAAGTACTGGAGGTGGGCTCTAGGGACACTAGCACTGAGTTACATTTCTTGTCCTTATTTTGAAGGTAGTCTCACTTTCCCAGACTGGCCTTGAGTCTATAGTCCTCTGTTCTGGCCTAAGTAGTTGCAATTACAGATGTTTGTCACCACATGGTACTTAATCCTGACCTTCAGCTGCTGGTCTTAAAACATGTAGCTGGGTATCACCCACAATCTACTTAGTGGACAGGAGGCCTTGGCACCTGAGTTGAGCACCTGGATGACCTTTCGTCTTAGTAGTGCTGGAGTGGAACCCTGGACCTTCACGCTGACCTAGACCACAGTCCATTTTTGAGGCAGGGTCTCCTTATGTCACTAAGTCCGAAACAGGCTTGAACTCAGGCGCCTTCTGCCCTCAGCTCTAGGACTTTCTGCTGTGCCATTTTGCTGAGCAACCACAAAAAGCTCGAAAGACTAGATTCCTTTTATCAGCAGTGGGGGTGGCCTTGATGAGACTTGTCAGTCTCCACGATAATCTTCAAATTGGAGGTACTCAGTTAAAATGACTGGAATCTAGAAGCTTCTTATGTGTCCTGGGCCTCATCTGTCACGTCTTCTCCAATTTATACAAAGGACCCAAGACACAGCTTGCTATTCACAGAACAGTTTATTGGCCTACCTTACCTAGTAGACCACCCCTACAGCCAGGGAAGTGTCCAGCTAGCTGCACTTCGCTGGCAGCAGCTTGTGCCCTCGCGGCGCACCAGAAGCAGGAGGGAAGACTGGCCAGGCAGTCCTGAACTCAAGATAACCTGAGCAGAAATCCACACTCAGCTCCACTTGAGGTTCTTGTCGTCCTCCGTCATGGCCGGTGTGTCAGTGACGAGGCCGGTACCAATGGTGCGGTTGCCATCTCGCAGGGTAAAACGCTGGCCTTTCTCTAGGATCATTGGCTGTCGCAAGATAAGGCTGAGCTTCAGGTCCTCCCCAGGCATGGCCAGCTCCTGGAGCGGGAGAGAAGTGCACACAGCCTTCAGGGTGCTGCCGAGTCACGAGAGAATGCTACAGCACAATCACGCTGTCTGGGGACAGCTTCATCTGTCCAGGTATCACCAACATGGCAAAGAGGACGCGAAAGGACCCACGACCTGTGTTCTAAGTATATTGTGACAAAAAATGTTTTAGGAATCGGGTTATGCAGGTTCTTCAATCAGGACTTGAGCCCTAATGTTTAACAAAATGAAACAAGAAGACGCCTTCCCGAGGAATGAGGAATGACTGAGGAAAAGCACTGAGTGATTAAGCTTTTAACCTGCTGCAGCCTAGGGGGTGTGCAGACGGGAACTTGGTCAAGACCAGACCTTCTTAAATATATGAAAAGATGTTGAACACTTGTCATTTGAGAGATGCAAGTTAAAAGAACTCTGAGAGTCCCTCTCACCTCAGAGAGGAGGAGTATTAAGAAATCAGTAACGCTGGTGTGGCTGTGGGGAAGGAGGTCTAGACTGGTCCAACCGCTGTGGAAATTGCGTGGAGACTCCTCAAAGACACTCAAACTAGAGGTTCCATTCAAGCCAGTTATTCCCTTCTTGGTTATCAAAAGGCCCAAAAGAAAAGCATCCCACCACAGTGCTACACGCCCACCTATGTTTATAGTGGCACACTTTATAATAGCTGAATCTCAGACACAGCCCAAACGCTCCCCAACCAATGAATGGATAAAGATGTGGTTTTGTTTTTTTAAACATATATACAAGAAAATACTAAAAATACTACTTGCTATATAGGATAAGCTTGAGATACTGCTAGCAACCTTGGGGACCATACTCTTAAACAAATTGGACACACAAAAGCAGCAGCCAAAACAGACCACGTGGCCTAACGGATAAGGCGTCTGACTTCGGATCAGAAGACTGAGGGTTCAAATCCCTTCATGGTTAGATTTTGGGGGCTGGGACGATAGTTCAGTGGAATAAGTGCTTGCCTGGCAAGCACAAGGTCCTGAGTTTGATCCCTGGTACCACCAAAAAAACCCACAAAAAACCACAAGATATATTGTATACGGCATAAATTCTCCGATGAATGTAATCATTATGTACATCTAAAATGTACCAATAAAATAAAAATGCAAAAACCCACAAACAAAAAAAGGGGACCAGTCCTACTAGTTTCACTTGTACCCGTGGCAACCACACTTTACTGGAAACAGCCACATGGACTGTCGCCGCAGAGGTCAGGACTCTGCTGAGGCAGCACTAACAGCACTTCCTCTACTCCTTCATGGTCCCCCCACCCATCGTACCTTCCCTGGAGGCAAGATGACCCGACAGGCCATGTCCCAAGTGAGAGAGAACATCACAGGCATGAAGTGAGACACAAAGGGCTTGTGGCGACCCCCTTCTTCCTTGCTGAGGATGTAAACCTGAGGGGAGAGAATGGGTGGGGCTGGGCCAGGCTGGGCCAGAGCTGTTTCCCTTCAGCCCTGCTCACCATGCCTGCAGCCTCACCTGGGCCTCCACCTTCTGGTGTGGCTGGATGGAACCTGGCTTGACCATGACCAGGCCTCGCCGCAGATCCTCTCGCTTCAAGCCTCGGACCAGAGCCCCAAGGTTATCCCCCGCCTCTGCCTTCTCCAGGCTCTTGTGGAACATTTCAATGCCTGGGGGGAGAGGAGGAGGCAGAAGGCTCAAGGGAGCGCCTGGGGAAGGGGGAGCCTGGATCCAGCCCCTGGTCTCAAGATGCCTTCTGTGTACCTGTCACCACAGAGCGAATGTTCTTGCTATGTCCCAGGAGCTCACACTCATCTCCCTTCTTTAGAATGCCACGTTCTAGTGTGCCTGTCACCACCGTGCCCCGGCCTGGGAAGAATTAGGACAAGACATCAAGGACTCCAGACTCCGCTGCTGCTTCAGGGAAGAGTGTAAACAAACACAGTCCTCACCAGGAATCGAGTAAACTGACTCTATAGGCAACAGGAAAGGCTTCTCCAGATCCCGGACGGGCACTGGGATGTAAGTGTCCACAGCATCCAGCAGCTTCTGCACAGACTTCACACCTAGCTCGGGGTCACGCTGCTGTTGGAGGAAGGGACAGGCCACCAATCCATAATGCTCCTCCACACAGGAGCCACTGCCTGAACATACTGCAGAGCTCCTGAAGCCCATCTAACCCCGTCCTCCAAAGCAGAGCCCTGCCTTCACCTCAAGGGCACAGAGAGCAGAGCCTACGATGACAGGGGTCTCCTCCCCCTTGTAGCCGAACTCGGTGAGCAGCTCCCGGACCTCTAGCTCCACAAGCTCCACCATCTCAGCGTCCTGGACAGCATCCGCCTTGTTCACATACACCACGACATGCTCTACCCCAATCTGTAGAAGAGACAGCAGGGTCCAGACTCGCCCAAGGCCCTACTCTCTCTCCATCCCCACCCAGACTGGGTACCTGTTTGGCCAGCAGTAGGTGCTCTCGGGTCTGGGGCATGGGGCCGTCATTGGCTGCCACCACCAGGATGCAGCCGTCCAAGGGAGCAGTGCCTGTGATCATGTTCTAGGCAGGATGAACGGAAACAGTCTCCTTCAGCAACTGCCTCTGGTCCACCTCACCGAAGTTAAAACCTAAGCCATTTTGCCATCTCATCACCCACTCTTGGCTGCCCATGGCCACATCTCTCTTCTTCTAGGACAGGGCTGGTTCAGGCTGGTCTTGAACCTCATAGTCCAAACTGACCTCAAACTTGTACTGATCCTCTTGCCCCAGCCTCCCAAATGCTGGCATTATATACATGCACCATAACACGCTGCTTCAAATTTTAAATTTTACATTCAAAGATACAGATATTAATGCGATGCTAAGGTATTTATGGTTCAACTACCTTCACATCACCATCACCCTACCACCACCGCCGCCGCCACCGCCGCCAAACCACCCCATCCCCCTCCTGCCCCAGCATTAATCTTTGCAGAAGGCAGCAAGGCCAGGAGGCCCTGTCCTCAGCAACCCTCACCTTAACATAATCTGCGTGACCTGGACAGTCTGTGTGGGCATAGTGGCGGGTGGCAGTGCTATACTCCACGTGGGCCGCATTGATGGTGATGCCCCGGGCTCGCTCCTCAGGGGCATTGTCAATTTCCTCGTATTTCTTGAATTTAGCCCCACCTCCCTCAGCTAGAACTAATGGAAAGAAGAGAACACACTTCTCAGCTCAAACTCACAGCTACAGGCTGGGCTCAGGCCACACCCCCGGGTCGTTCCCACCTGAAAAAAAAAAAAAGACTAAGGCAGGGTGAAGCTTCCATGACCCCCTCTTCTCTCTTCCACAAAGGATAACTCTGGATTGGAACCATGTTGGAAGATCTTAAGGATCTGGGCGTGGCAGCACACACCTGTAATTCCAGCACTTAGGAAAGCTGAAGCAGGAGGACTGCCAGGTTGAGCCCAGCCTGGAAACTTAAGTAATTCAGAGAGACCCTGTGTCAAAATCAAAGGGGGTAGGGGCTCGGCGCTGGCACTTCATGACCCTTCCAGGAGAAAGCTCTCCAAGACCACGAGTTCATGCACAGCAAAGCTCTTGGGGCTCTGGGCAGTCCGTCTTTGACATCCCCCCACCACCACCCGCGGTTCTGATTCTCGGGGCTACATTGAGGTCCCCCGAAAACACCCCGGCGGCCCCACCTCCCCGGCTCCGGTCCCCCCAGGAGGCAGCGCGCTGCGGACGCCCCGCCCCCAGCCCGCTCACTTTTTGTAATAGCTGCGGTCAGTGTGGTCTTGCCGTGGTCCACATGGCCGATGGTACCCACATTCACATGAGGCTTGTCGCGCACGTAAGTCTTCTTGGCCTCCACCGCCAGGCCGCGGGACAGGGGCAATACTGGAGTCTTCAGGGGCCGCGACAGACCTTGCAATAATGGGGTCGGGCCAGCACAGAAACCTGCCAGGGCAAGGACCGGGGAGTCAGAGCGAGGGTCCGCGCCGAGCTACTCGCGACTCCCACGAGTCTCGGGCGCTCATCGCTCTCCCAGTCGCCTCACCGCTGAAGCGGGGCGCCGCGCGCAGCATGACGGCGACCGCCATCGTGGTAGTCCGCCACGGACACCGAGAACAGGGTAGCGGGAGCCCGCGCGTGCAGCCGAGGAAGGGCACTTGCGGCTGGCGGTCACTTCCGGCGGAAGCCAGGGCCCAGAGGGCAAGTGTGGGCCCCTCTATCCGCCTGTCTCTATGATCATCTCCAATGCCTTCCGGGTGAAGGGCGGAAGCTGAGAGTGCTGGTGTGTCGCGGAAGCGGAAGGACGGAGAAAGTTTCCACAACTCGGGCCTGGCGGGCTTCCGGGTACGCCGCCGGGAAAAAGGTAGTGCGTCCCATAATGCAACAGCGCCCCGGAGGCTCATGGTCATTGTGGTTCCTAGAGGGGCGGGTACTGAGGAAAAGTCTCGGCCAAGCCACGCACATTGTGCGGCCGCTGCGCCTCCGCTGGAGGTAGGACCAGGCCCTGGACGCACTTTAGGGTTGAGCTCAAGTATGACGTCTCTCCGCAACCCTTTTTTTTTTTTTTTTTAATCTGCAAAATGGGAATAATACTATCTGCGTTATTTATTTATTTATTTGAGACAGGTGTAGTTTTTGCTGGGCTTGAGCTTCACTTTGTAGCCCACAATGGTCTCGATCTTGCGATGATTCTCCTGCCTCAGCCTCCTGAGTGTTGGGATTATAGGGATGCACTACCATGCCCGGCTTTTTTTTTTTCGGGGGGAGGGGTAAGGTGGGCTCCATTTTAAAGGGAGATATTAGCTGATTGTAGTAGCTGTTGCCTGTAAACCCAGGACTTTGGGAGGTGAGGCAGGAGAATCATGAAATTTCTTAGTGATTTAGTGAGACTGTCTCATCAAAATGATCTGGGATGTAGCTCATTGTGCAAGCCCTGATTTAATCTAATCCCCAGTATGGAGGGAGAGAGAGAGGGAGATGTTGAAAGGGTCAGATCTTGCCATCTGAGAGGGGGTCAGAACTGGGCAGGAGTTAGGAGTTTCCCATTCTGAGATCCTCAGGTAGTCCCGCCGTCATATCTCACAGCCTTGGAGGACACCTTACTGTCCTACATCACAGAATCAAAGACTTCAAGAGATCTGCAGCCCTTGTGATAGTCCTGCAGCCTCAGGAGCAGTTCCCTTGATCACAGACAGACAAACAGACAGACAGACAGACAGACACACACACACACACACACACACCACCCCACCCCACACACACACACCTCTAATTTTACAAGTGGCACTGAGATTGAGGGACCAGGTTGGAAACCCTTTCAGGGTGGCCCGAATCTTTTTTACTGCTTCAGGAGCCAGGTGTGGTAGTGCACACCTATAATCCCAGCACTTTGGAGGCTGAGGCAGGAGATTGCAAGTTTGAGGCCAGGCTGGGCTACATATCAAGACCCTATCAAAAAAAAAAAAAAAAAAAAGTCTTGCTCAAGCCCCAGGATCTGACACAGGAATAAGCTTGCAGTGAATGCCCAGTGAGCATCTGCGGAAGATATGAGTAAGTACAAGCACAGAAAATGCCCCCTAGCTTTCCCATCTATCTCATCAAAGCTTCCTAGCTTCACCCTGAGGTACAAAGAGCAGCTGCTTAAGCTCTGACTTACATTTCTGTAACTCAGCTTGACTCATCTGACCGTGCTCATTCCAAATACTGTAGATTCCCTAATTCCTCCTCTGGAAACTAGGATTCAGAGGTCCCGCACGCAGGTCGGGACATTGTATAAGACGCATGCCGTCTGAAGCTCAAAGGACTTTGGGAAATTCTGAGCTAGACCTTTCCCCTTGGCAGCCATTCCTGTTGGCTCACGACCTGTGCTCCCAGGACTGAGCTGTGAGGTAGCGTCTGTTATCTGCACATTGTACAAGAAAGCAAGCTGAGGAACACAGTGCTTAAGGAGCCCAGCACAGCTAAAGCCCCCAAAGTCCGCATCTGGCCACTGCATTTTAAATTTTTTTGTGCTGGGCATGGAACCCAGGGCCTCACAAATGCTAGGCAAGTCCTCTACCATTGAACTACCTGCCACTGCTCTTGCTATCATTTAACTCTCATTTTACTGTTCAGGTAAAGTGAAAAACTTGCTAAGACTCTTGGCCCTCCAGCCCATCTGCTCTGATTAGGAAGGACCAGTACAGCACAAAAGGATTGTTTGTTTCTGCTTTGTACCTCACTCGCTGTGCTCTGAGATGCTGTCTACCCTGAGCCATTAGTGACCGCTATCAAGATGTGCATTTTGGGTCATGGTAGAGCATGTCTGTAATCCCAGTCCTCAAGAGGCAGAGGCAGGAGAATTGCAAATTTGAGGCCAGCCTGGGCAGTGTACCTAGAACTTGCTGAAAATAAAAAAGGTTGGGAAGATGGCTTGGTGGTACAGCACCCCGTGTTTAATCCCCAGCACTAGAAAAAAAAGTTGGAGGAAGATAATTTTTTTAGGAAAGGATCTACAGGGTGTTCAGGGTCAGACTACTAGATCGGACTTATAGTGATCTGCCTGTTTACAGTCTCCCAAGAGTTGGGATTACAGACACAGCGCTACCACTCCCAGTCTCAGTTGCCCTCTCAGTGCACCCTGGGAGCGGGGCTGGCGTGGCAGGCCCGGGGATCAAAGCCCCAGGCCCTGAGCCTGCTTGCAGGCACTTTAATCCACTGAGCTATTTGGCTGGCCCCAACAGAAGAATTTAAAGAACACTATTTGGTATTTAATATTATGGGTGGGATGAATTATGAGGGTATGACAAATGTGGGGGAAATGGTGCATGAATGAATGAACTTTGACAACAAGCCTCACAGCACACAAAGGAAAAAATTTTTTTCTGTAGCTGTTGGTTGTAGCATCCTTTGTCACAGTGAATGGATCAGCCAGGAGTCTTTCTTTTAAATTTTTTTATTCATTTTAATGAGAAAATAAAATAGCAATGAGACAGTTTCAAAACAAGTTAGTAGAACAGTTACAAGAATTAATACATTGTATATTGTTGTCTTCATAGTGGTCAGCCAGGAGTCTTGATTCACTCATAACAGACTTTGACAGGTTTAAACAAAGAGGGATTTATCAAGAATATTAGGGGCCGGGGAAATGGCTCAGTGGAATAAGCGCCTCCCTGGCAAGTGCAAGGGCCTGAGTTCAATTCCCGATTCCACCAAAAAAAAAAAAAAAGGAATACTAGGCAATATAATTCCTTACATAATAACTGCTGTTACTGCCATTAAATACTATATACCAGCATTTAGGCGCATTTGTAACTCCTACTTGTCAGTGACACAGAGCATCAAGAAAGTGACCTTTTAGCCTGGTGTAGTGGTGCGCATCTGTGACCCCAGCACTCATGAGGCTGAGGCAGACGGATCACTGCAAGTTGGGGGCCAGCCTGGGCTAATATTAAGACCCTGACTCATTAAAAAAAAAAAAAAAGTGACCTTTTCCTTCCTTAGGTCCCAAAGTCAAGCAGATTCAAAGCTTCACATAGACCCATCTCCCTGCTGGCAGGGCCTCGGGTCATATGTGTCAGGCGAGCCTGAGAGAATATTCTGACGTGATGTCGTGATACGGGGGAGTGTAGCTGACAGCAGGGAACTTGCTCAGATGGAGTCTCCTCAGAGGGTGTGCAGTGAGAGCGCAGTGCGCACAGAAGTCCAGCGTGTGGCCATTGGCGCTGTGGCTTGTGGCACAGCCACTGGATAAAATATTAATGGGAAAAGGGGCAGGGATATAGCTCAGCAGTGTAGTGCCTGCCTGGCAAGCTTGAGGTCCTGGGTTCAATTCCCTGTCCTCTCTTGCTCCAAGAAAAGAAATATTAAGTGGGTACATTGAGAAATGCAAGCCCAAGACCTTTCTGCCTTAGCCTCTCTAGTAGCTAAGATTGCAGGCACAAGCCAAACTCAGGACCTTGTACTTACTAGGTAGGTGTTGGTGCTGCAGAAATATATCCCAAGCCCTCTGGATTATGTCTCCTAGTGGCAGTAGATGCTAGATGAATTATATCTTCATAAAGTTGTTATTAAAAAACGTCATCCAAGCCAGGTGTGGTATAGTACACACCTGTGATGTCAGCACTTAGCAGGCCAAGGCAGGAATGCTCTAAGTTGGAGGCCAGCCTGGGCCACACATGGGTGCCATACAAGGCTGAGTCACCTAGCAGAGACTCCCTCTGAAAAGATCCAAAAAATAATAATCCTAACTTCTCCGCGTGGCCTCCGGGGCGCGGCCCCGCCCACCTCCGAATGCATCTTGACCTGCCCCTCTCTCCTCCGGCCACAGCAGCCTCTGACTGCTCTGGACAAGCCACGGCTGTCTCCCTCAGGCCCTGTGCACCCGCTTTTCCACCCTGGAATGCTATTCCTGCAGCTTTACCCACGGCGCGTTCCTTCCCATCCATTCTGGCCCTGGCCCTAGGTCAGCCCTTCTGTCCCACGTAGCCCTTAGATCATTCGCTCAGTTGTCCTCCAGTTTTTCGTCATGGCACCTAAGTATTCACAATCCTCTTATTAGCCAGGTGTGGGGGTGCATGCCTGTCTTCATAGCACTTGGGAGGCTGAGGCAGGAGAATCGATAGGAGCTTGAGGTCAGCCTACACGACCTCGTTCGAGGCCTGCCTATTGAGATCCTGTCTCAAAAAGGACAGAAAAATTCTCCACTAGATTGCTTGGTTTATGGTTTGTTTGTTTTTTTCTCACTAGCTCATGACAATAAGAACTTACCTTTTACTCTAAGAACACTATCTGACATTTTGGCACATTATTTGCTGAAGAAATAATGTGTCTCATTTCACTTAAGCACTTCGGTTTAGTTTTTTAAGTTTCCCAATATGTTCAGTAGAAAGCAAGTTTTGTACTCACGTTCATTTCATAAACAAAGAATTGCTGTGAATTTTTGACCGAGGGGCCGGGGAGATGGCTCAGTGGAATAAACGCTTCCCTGGCAAGCGCAAGGGCCTGAGTTCAATTCCTGATTCTGCCAAATAAATAAATAAATAAATAAATAAATAAATAAATAAATAAATTGGCCTAAGCATTATCTGTAAGTTGGGCATGGAAGTTAAACAAGCTAAGTGATATCTAAGATTTCTTGGAGTTCTTTTGTAGTCAGAGGGGAACAATACAGGACATACCACTTATGAAATTATTTTCTAATAGTCACCAGGAGAATCTTATGCAAAGAGTGCAGAAAATCTGTTC